AAGCCTGAATTTTGCCTGAAACTCTCAGACTGAAGAAGTCTCTTGGAGGAGAGACGAAACGTTTCGTTAGAGAAGAACCCGTCCAGAGGACCTTTACAATTTTTTTCTTTTTGATTTTTTACCTGGATTACTGAGATGCATCAGGACATTTCAAAATTTATGTTTTATTTACTGTACATTCAAATCTGAACAGACAAATAAAAGTGTATTAATTGCCTGAATTCAGCATTCAGACTGTTTATCTTACCTTCACTTTAGTGTTAGTACTTTTGTTATTTATGACCGTTATACTTTTTGAACTATTTACAGAACAAAGAAATTACTGTAAAAAAACACGTTGAGAACTCTTCAGTTTTTCAAAAAACCTTGTTATGTACTTGTTCTGCCTTTTATGTTCTAATAGCTATTAACTTCTTGTTCGTTTAAGCTTTTAGCTGCATTTTAGCTAACTTTAGATTTTAGCTGCTGTTTTGCTCATTTTTGTTTTAGTGTTTTGCCACTTTTTTTGCTCTTTCAATTTTAACATTGCAGTTTCTGCTGCTTCACTATTCAGCAGTCATTCATCAGTCAGCATTCACACAGCATTTCTGCAGAAAATGCTAATTTCTCTAACTAAACTTAATTGTCCCCTTTAATTAAATTGATTAATTGCTACATATAAAAAGGCACACACTGGGTCAAAATTACATTTAAATTAACATTAATAAATCAATCAACCACATTGTTCACTATCCTCTAAATCTTGTCTCTGCAGCTCAAAGTCAGTAAAACTTACCGTTTCCAGAGACGTGGTTATCCAGCTGGTTTCCGTCGGTCAGACCTGCGGTAAGTTGGATGTAAAGTCCGGCGGACTGTAAAACCCCTAAAATCAGACCCAACGCTCCCATAGCTTCCGCCGGGTTTCTTCAAGCAGCAGCCGTGGAAAATACAGACATCAGGTGGAGAGCATCGAGAGGAGCGTGTCTCCTCCCGGACAGGTGCCGGACCACGACGCGAGAAACACGGTGTTTCCTCMGCGCTCACAGAGCGGTCAGACAGGCGGAGGGAGAAACAGGTGCTGCGGCTTGGCTCAATTAGGCGGAGGGATATCAAACAGATGTGAGCGTTAACAATCATTATTGACTTACTAAAAAATAAACTAATCTCGTCATATTTTAGCTTTAGCGTTTATTGCATTTAATTAAGACGATTAAATTATTTTATACAGTGAATAAAGAGTGGAACATAAATCGTTCAGATATATTGATGTGGAGTTTTGTTAATATTTAAGCTGTTGTTATAATAT